GGATTCGAACCCGCGACCCTCAGATTGCGAGTCGAGTGCCTTAACCACCTGGCCATCAAAATTAGTCTCGATAAAAGTTACCCAAATTATGTTTATAGGTAATTACCAAATAATCTATTGGTTGTATAACCTATTGACTTTGAACTATGATATAGCACTCTAAGGAATTTCATGATCCCAAGGGCTGTGTAAGGTTTAAACTTGATACATATAAATCTATATAATGCTTATTTGCGTAAAAACTTTTAAAGAATGTCTTTTGTTTCTGTTTTCATTTTCGACCGTTGGCAAGTTTAAGAACTTGAGGTTACGTTACTTTACGTCTCATAATGAAAAGTGAGGGTTCCCTAACTCACGATTTCATAGTTTGTCGTGTGTGTTATTATATAGTATCTCAGCTTTAACCATTTAAATAATATGCACTTTTGAGCGACTATTAAGAAGGTAAGGTGCGTAAGTTACACTTTCTATGATTTACCAAGTTTTGTTTTTTGATGTGAAAATATCTTCTACTTGATTATAAAAAGTAATATTTTAGTGTAAGATTGTAAACTACAACTTAAATAGTGTTTAGAAAGTTCGTTTGTGATTAAATTATAATTTATATTTATAACACTGATGTAGATAATGAACTTTTATAAAGCAGGTATTAACTAATCCTAGAGTGGAACTACAATTGGAGTATCATTGACCAGAAATTGGCTCGTGAAAAGTAGCTTTTGTCACGTATTTTGTATTACCTTAATTTTAAATGAAAGACCAAAGATGAAAGTTTGCCGATCAATCAAATTTTTGATTCAAATAAGTATAGTCTAGGACAGAGGTCAGCAGCGTTTTTCTATTAGGTTCTATTTATCAATATTCAAACTTTATGACCCACCGCACGTGTCACCATAGTTTTTTCTAAAACTTAGTTTACAATATTATAATTTTATGATGTATGTAGTACGATTAGTAGTTTATAATAATACGTATGCTACATTAACACTGTAAATTAAAGTGTAATAAAGTAGTAGTCATAAACTATACACTTTTTAAGTTTTAATTATTATCAATAGCTATAAAAATTAGATCAAAGGTCGTAAGAAAATGTCATTGTATATTGGAAAATGTTGATGTTTTAATTTTTACATTTTACCGTATTTTTTCGGAATATAAGACGCACCCTTATGTTGAAGACAAAGTTTT